ATCTACGTGCGTGGTGATTGGATACAGCCTACAATGTATCATAATTTTTGCAATTTATCCACGAACGTGCTGAATAACAGCCACTATGATGCTGATCGAGGGTTTTTGATCTGTGATTAAATTAAAAAAAATAACAATCACAAAGCCGTACAGATCAGTAGTATCTGGTCTATGATATATTGTTAAAATGTAGATTAAAAAATTACCAATTATGACTGACAAGGAGATGACCTTTGTCTTTATTACAATTTCATAAGCATTCACGAAAATGCTTCAGCTAGGTTGATCCTCAAACAGAAAGGATAATTGGAATAAGGGCCATGATTTAATTGTTTACATGTTATTATGACGTGAAGAATGTGCGACAGAAGTATCTATAATGGGAAGAAAATGCATAGGTTAATCATAATCAAGTAAGCAACTATCAGATGTGAGTACATCTGTACATGTCTTCTAACAATTAGTGCATAATCTGTGGTTATTTCCGATAAAAGACATGAATATAATTTGATATGTGTGCATATTTCCCATTTACAGTGTATACTAGGTATACATATGTAATTCAGTAACGTATAACAGTATTTGTTGTTTTTCAATCGAAAAAAGCAATGTATTTCAATTCTCGTCACGCCTATATAGATATGCATACACTACAGAAGATGAAAATATTGATAAGGAATCATATATTCTGGCGCTTTAACATTTTGAGATGTACATCCTGTTGCAATAAACCCTCTAACTTAAAACAAAAACAATTGAGAAACGGTGGACAGAGAAACCATTTTGGAAATGCAATTTCTCTAACCATATTGACGCTAAAATCGGCGTAACTATAGCGCCAAAACTATCATTATTAAGTTAAAAAATATCCGTGCCAATTTTAATGAATAAAATTAATATAAAAAAATTGGACCTAAAAACTCTTTGTTTTCGGTCAATGCGCGTTAAGTGCAAGTGTTGCATGCAGCGAAAGTAAAGTGAGTGGATTTAGTGGAATACAATGTCAGCTAACATTTCTTTAGAGCGAAAGAGCAGTGAGAATTTTCAATAAACTACATGTATCTTCATTATCCAAGTCTTCTTCAAAGCCATCGATATCTTTTCTGTGAGCCGAATTTTTGCAATCAATGCATTGGCTAAATATGTGCCCCCAGTTTTACATTGTGGCTTGCTACATAGAGCAACGAACGTTTCGCTTCCTCCTGTTGGGTTCTATCAGCCAGTTTGTCTTCTGTGACAAGCTGCAGTTGCTGAGCTTAGCCGATGTAGTGGCGCTGCGGGAATGGCTCCGTAACTATATCAAGTCTGTGTTGTTGTAATTCCAGCCATGACCATGTGGACTGGAATGGCTGGAAACTGCTCAGGACTTGGTAGGTTGCCCAAATTCTTCGCGCTTAACATAGTTGGCGAGAGTATAACAGTAGGAGACCTGGTCGGAAATTTACTGGTAGTTAGCGATCGTAGTAAGCATGTTTCATTAAGGAGTCCGTGAGCTGGGGGATCCTCATTCAGCCATTTCTACCCATCGAATTTGTTGTTATACGGCTGCTATTTCATCAAGGGAATCTTGATCATACAATTCAAACAAGATATCTTACAAGCGTGCATCGTTCTCTACCAGGACTAGTTGTTATGGTGGAATGGCCTTCAGCCTGTTGAATGCTTTTGACTCTGTTAGATTCACGATCATTTCATGGTTTTTTTTTTGAGTTGCCGTAGAGGAGGTACACCACGAATCACAACCTGTGACAGCTAGTAGCCTCGATAGAGCGAGCATCTGCTCTACCTCAGTCCACCGATTTGGTTTACTGTTATGGCACTCAAATTCATTTTTTTTTGTAGGGCCTACGATCTTTGTTGCTTTCCAGGTCCAGGTGGAAGAAAGTTAGGGCTCAATCATTGAGCTTTTTAGCCACACCATAATAAATACATCCGTATCTGGGTTCTAATGATGACGCTGGCTGATACGCTGGAATGACGCAGCGAGTGAATGCGCAGAATACTGACGTGTACGAAGAGCCGTGTCGTGTGTCGGCCTCCTCGTGGTTACATTCAAGTTCCTTCACAGCAGTTACATTCACTGTGCCATCAACATTTTGCAGCGAATGACATTCTTCATCATGTGCCACCACAACAGTTACTACAACATATACATTATACAGTTGATCTCCGGCAGTCTCTCTCCACATCTTGAGTAGGAAGCGTATTAGAATCATCAGACGACATAGACGACATGTAAGTCGCCATGTTTGTTGTGCAGGGAGCCAGTTCATGCGAACGTAAGGAGACGCGTGATTGGTTGCAGAAAGCAACACAGTGGGGAATCGGGATGAGACGTGCGTTTTGATTGGATAATATTTCTCACAAAATAAATTATTTTCTTTCAGTTTGTTTCGTTTTTCTCTTGTTTGCGTAAATGTTATTATTGACGAGTTTCACAGACCTTTTAAAATATATTTAATTACAATATGTGAGCATATTATGTAGTTGCCACTCGGTGGGTGCAAAAAATCACAATTTGGGGGTTCACCCCGCGGTCTATTTCTTTTATAAATGCTTTCTGTGATAGCTGTGTAACATTGCACAATAAATACCCCAGGTCTACAAAGAAATAAGGTCTTCTCTGCATTTCCCTAAACACATAAACTGGTCTGTTCGACAGATGTATTGCAATCCTCAAACGTGCCTCCAAGTTTCCAACAGAGCAACTGTCAATTGTCATACGACAATGTCGCTGGAAATTGGAAATGATTCCAAATATTTTTGTTGTTACGGTCATGGTCCGTTGTGGGGTGGAACCAGGCAGGTCTCGGAACGTGGTCCCCTTAGAAAACTTTTGTACTATTTAAAACTGTAACTGTAACTGTAACTGTAGGAAAGCGCCGGCTTCACAGATAGTACATATTAGTTCGCGGCACGGACGCAATCACAATAAATCATTCCATGACACATAATGATGATTTCGCCGTGATGTCCACCTGCCCCATCTATAGGAACCAGATTTGTTGACGCCAAAACTCGCAGGTAGAGGCGGACTTGGCTTGATCCTTTGAATCGAACAGTCTAGTTGTTGTCCCGCTCCTATTGTGCCTCTGTTACTTTCACACGTAGTCCGTTATATTTTTCCGTTCATCTCCTACCTTTCACCTTCACCTCCCCCCCAAGCGTCTCCGTGCACTGCTGCGCAAAGGTACGAAATTACTGATAGTTGGTATTCTGTGTGTGTAGACTTCCGTGTAGGCATCTGTGCAGTTTCGTGGAGTTGTGTGAATTTAGACTGTTAAGAGAAGATTCTGTGGTAATAGAACAAACGAAGAGTAGCTTTATAATACTCTGTTCGTAATATCTATCGTGTGATCTATCTGTGCTATCTATCGTGGAAACTATCGACGCAACCTGATATTACCCTTAAAAAACGGGTACCACTACTGCACCTACTAAACCGAGAACCTGGGATCGGGAGGTGAAACGCTTCCTTACACTATCTTACGTAACCATCTACTAGCTTATTATCTATATATGTTTAATGTTGTATATATGTTTAAAGTTGTATATACAGTGGAACCCCCATTTTAGGCGCCCCGATTTAACGCGAATTCGGATATAAAGCGATGAGTAGTTGGTCCCCCTTTTTGGCTTTTATATAGCCACATATATCTAACCCCGATTTAATGCGACCCCGCTTTTTCCGCGATGACATATTATGGAGCCCAACAATAGCGATATAACGAGGCTACACTGTACGTTTAAAGCTGTAAGTTGTATATATATGTTTAAAGTTGTATATATTTTTATATTCCTTCAGATTGTTCTGATAACGCGCGTCTCCGCTCGCGCAGAAGCTCCCGCACCAGTACAGCGGACCCAAGTCCAAGTGGCAGCTTGCGGCGGCCGCCTCGCTGCGAGCGGCGCCCCCTGCCGGCGGAGTCGAGCAGGCGCCGGGAGCGGTCGAGGCGGCGGCGCCCCCTGCTGTGGTGGAGGATGCGGGGATGCAGAGTCGGATTTCGTTTTTGAATCGCGAACTCGCGAGCGGTCGGTCAAAGGTCGAAGCGAGGTCGTGCGAAGGTCGCGGCGCGAGAAACAAGCAGACGCCTCTCGCAGCGGTGCTGCCCTCTGTGCGGACTCCGGGCATCGCCCACAGTTTGCCGCGACTCACGAGGAAACACGTGTACCTTCGCACGAGCAACAGTGCTGCCATCTACACGCCAACAACGACACTGTCGGTGACCGTCGACGTCGACAAGTGAACGCGGCTACGCGGGCGCCGCCTGGTGATCCGTGATTTTTTTTATATCGATTGCGCGAATCGACGTTCTGTTGTTTTCGCGCCGTCATCTGCATTTATACTTCGATTGTGATACGTCGCACACTGCCATGACGATTCTGCCTTGATTATACAATCAATAATATAATATATATTAAATATATTAATATATATATATATAGAGTATATCTTATATATAATATTATACAATCATGTGTAATATAATATATATTACATATAATATTATACGATCGTGCGTAATATTATATACATTCGTTTATATATACACCGTGGATGTTTATCCACGTGCAACGCTTGACGTTAAATCCTGTGAAACGATTAAGATTGTTTGCAGACGATTGCATACGATACAGCAGATATTTAGAAATGATTGAGATTGGTTGCAGACGAATCTAATAATCTGATTACGATGGAAATTACGTGTATTATACAGACGATGATACCGGTAAACATTATAAGATACAGATGATAATGTTACTGGTTTTGTTCGCAAGAGATTATCATGTCATTATATTATTCGAAAGTGCAGATCGTGCGTTTCACAAGTTTTTATCACTGGTGTTTTGATCCGATTTTTTTATATAAAAAGCCGTTAACATTTACCGCAATGATGTCTGCTGTGGTTTTACTTTTCGTGCTATATTTGCCGATCGCCTTCCGATTGCACCGATAAACGTAAAGGCATGTGAGAGAAAAAAGATCGAAACAGAAAGTGTTGATAACGACGCACTATCGGTTGTTATCGAAACTAATTATCGACACTAATTACAGGCGATAATTAACGATGAAAAGAGTAATTAATTACATAGAGGAGAGACTCGCTCTCGCTGTCTCTCTCTGACGTGAATGCTACATGCACGCGTCGTCTCTACAGGAGACGTTGCTATGACGACAAACACACCTTCACTTCACCACACAAACACCGCGACTTTCTTTCCGACCACTGCCGTCACATTTCTCTCCACCCCATAACACGCGGGGGTGCTAATACTACCAGGTGGCGCCCCCATCACTAGGCGGGGCGTTCGCCCTTAAATCGGTCGGCGATGATGCAACGGATGCTATCGGGGAAGGAGGGGGCGGGTAATCCGATCAGCATTCTCTCTCGGAACCGAAACTGTCTGTAGATGAAGGTACAATAGAGGACAGTTGGTAGTTTTCTCCTTCTCCTTACAATAGTTCGTTAGCGTCTCTCTCCGCGCGTACAAAAGTAAAACCTTCGGAAAGAAAGGTTCGTAAAGGAAGCTCACAACAGCCCGTCGTCGTCGTCTTCGTCGTCCCTCCGCAGGCTCCGGTTGCCGTAGCGACCTCCTCCTCCGCGCAGCCTCCTGAGCTCGGCTTCTCTCCGCGTCTGCCTGGGGTCCTCCCCGCTCCACAGCTTCCTCTTTGGGATCGTCTCGGTGAGAGTCCTCCTCCAGTCGCCGGTCTCGCGGAAGCGCAGCAGCGTCAGCGCCACCTGGTCGAGCGTGAGGCTCTTGTTGCCGAAGCCCCACCTGGTGAGAGAAACGTGCAAGAAGGCACACGGAATGTGCACATGCTCATGTTGTGGCAGAAGCTAAAGGATGACTCTAATTAACAAACTAGCTCCAACTCCAAGTAATAAGGTTTATGCCCGGATGATGTCCAGGACAGTGATAGGATAGGATGATGTTTATTACTGGACATGCTCTCTATCCTTGAGCCGGTTGGCCTACTCGAGTCGTACTCCCATTTCGTCTATGTCAAAATTCCTATTTCGTCTATAGCAAACTCATCGCGCTTCAATAAACTCAAAATTCACCACAGAGCTCATAACTAAGACATGTGTTTATAGGTATCTAGATTTCTAGAAAACGTAATTCGACTCGTTCGCGAGATAGTACACTTAATTTCCTACCGCCCATAACCGTGCGTATTATTAGCCTATGAGCGACAGCGCACGCATATATTTTTGGTAATTAATTAAACTAATCGTGGTTCAATAAACTCAAAATTCACAGAAATTATAGCTAAGACATATGTCTATAATAGCTACAATTTCTAGAAATGTAACTCGACTGGTTCGCGAGATATCAGAGGAAGTACATTTTCCTAACGTTCGTTCGTCTGTTTAATGGCCTAGAAAACACTGCGACATGCAGCGACAATCATCTTTCCAATATGGCGGCGTGGCGGACCGTTCAGTGCAATGCACTCTCATTGGCTAGGGCCTATATAGTTGTTATATGATATCTATGGATGATGTTGCACCATAGCACCGCCACTAATTTGAGGACTTCCATTGCCCTCCCCCAGTTCTATAAACGAGCAGCATTATTATAATAATTAATTTACGAAAACAACAAATAAGAGAGATGATGTAATGTTGTTTAATAAACAATTAGGACATTTCTCGTCATAAACCTTCATATATTTTGTATTACATACAGGATTATTTCTTACACGGAGAGCTCCTCGTGAATAGATATCCTGTTGCGTACTTCCTGTTACCCATCCGCTGCACGTGGGCGTACCACACTGTCACTGGTCGAATGCGGCGAAGGTAAGTGTAACTTTTGTAACCTCGTAGCCGGCACAGGCACTTGGGACAGAGTCAGTAGAAACTGAAAATAATATGAACGGACATTCACAAATAGGCCCTACTACCGTACCTCTCAATTACAGTTCCACTGTTGCGTCACTGTGTATCAACTTTCCTTCATAAAAACCGATGTAAAAACTAACGCCGAACGCTCCCGCACTCGCCGCTGCCAAGTATCTAAATATAACATTGTTATACAGTAAAAACCCGCGTATAAGAACATAGATTTTAAGAACCTGTTAGGCTAAAATTTCCCATTTAGACCCCTTTACATAAGAACCTGTTTTAGGCTAAGATTTTAAAGTAGGTTCTTAATTTTCCATGCAGATGAAGACTTAAAAAGAAACACAGGTAAAATAAAAAAGACGAGCTCAACAATACCGATTAATGTGCCAGCACCTTTTTTTGGCACGCATCTTTTTGCATATTGTTTTGTTTCCTTGGATACATACTGTATCATACAGTATGGTAAGCACTGAAAAACTCACACTGTAGCCCATCATGGGTATTAATTAGCAAAAATTGCAGTCCTTGTAACAAAATTTTAACACAATTTGAATCAAGTATAAGCTTATACATATTAAAAGTAGAAACAATTAAGAACCTATTTAAGAACCTTTTGAGCCTAATTTTTCAGTAAGCACCATTTACATAAGAACATATTGAGGCTAACTTGGAAAAATCTATGTTCTTATACGCGGGTTTTTACTGTATTTAGCTCTTTGGCCGCTGCGAGTGTGCTGTCTCGCCATGGTAATATATGGTATGTTAAACAGAGGAACTGTAATTGAGAGGTATGGTAGTAGGGCCTATTTGTGAATGTGCGTTCATATTATTTTCAGTTTTTACTGACTGTCCCAAGTGCCTGTGCTCGTAGCCGCATAAAGATTAGTCTGGAACTGTCGACTGGGTACCAGTCTATATTATACCTAGCCAGCTAAGCCTCGATTCTCGTGTGAACGCTCCGGGTTGTCTTAGCACGGTATTTCAGCCGAATTCAGCACCAGATAAGTACGGAACCAGCGAGGCCGTGTATCTCGTGTGAACGCAGCTAAAGGTTCGTGTTTAGAATAAATCCAGTTTGGAAGTTCTATCCTCGAAAAACGCACCATAAAACCGCTCTGAGTGAATCACTGAGTGGCTCCTTCAAAGAAAAGAATAGGCTCGCGTTGTAACCCTACTGTTGTTGGTTTACATTATTACCTCCGCCAGGGGCTTGGCGGAGGTTATGTTGTCACCGGCGTGTGTTTAAGTTTTGGTTTGTGGGTTTGTGGACGCTCGCTGATTGGCTGATTGGCCCGCCGCCGCCGCCGCGCCAGAACCGCCTGTATCATACAGGTTAAGCCTAACTGGAAAAGTTATGGACGGATTGTCATAACATTTCACATTGAGAGAATTCAGCTGTCTTGGCGGAGGTATGTGCTCTCCGAGTGCTCTAGTTGTATCTATGTTTAGCATAGCTTTAGTAACTATAGCCCGCGTACAGTTGCCACAGTTTCCACAGACACCGGACCGCACTGCAACACGTGGCATTTTTTGCATGTGGATGGCCTCCAAAATTGCTCGCCTAGCACAACATTTCTCACTAGAAATTCGTTCACATACTTGTAGCATTTCAGGGCTCACAAGTCTCTTGTTCAGTGAACGTGGACTAAGTAGTAATGTGGCCGAAGATGGCAGCCTATCTCGGCCAGCTCCTCCCACCTCTTGCCAATAGTGCAGGGGCGATTTACTTGGGCCAAGGTGAATAATATGTCTGACATCCGTTTCTTGAATGCCCATGCCGAAGGCAATGGTGCATACAACGCAGCGTACGATGGAGTCCGTTTTGACGAAAGTGTTTAAGACATATTGTTCTTGAAGTTTTCCTATGCTGCCATGGTACATTGTGATGCCCAGGTTTTCTGATGTGTGTGTCTTGTGTTGCCAGGCGGCTTCTCCTATGCGATGGAGTAGGTCTTCGTAGACAGCTGCTACTTGGTTGATTGATCTGCAACACAATTGCGACAGTTACATTGAAGTTAACATTTGTTCAAACCGCGTTTGCATGGGGTATTTAAATAGTATGGTACCTGCAGTAAATGATGGTCTTTTCCGCATTCGGACCTGCTGTCCTCATGTGGTCCACCAACCACTGCACCTCCTGTTGGTAGCTACGCACTCCAGTCTTCCACTGAATGTAGATGTTTTTTTCTGTAAGATAACAAAGTTAGAAAAGCAAATCACTAAGAAAAACCAATATTTAATTGTTACTTAAATTGTGATAAATAACAATAACATGTATATTTTGTATTTGAAATTAAGAAAACGTTTTACTTTAGAATGAACTATTTGAGAAAGTATATATAGACACAAAAACATTATACAATTATTGACCTATTTTCAGGTGAATACGAGGATTTATTAACCCGAGACGGTGATATTTCCCGAGGCCGGAGGCCGAGGAAAATATCACTTTCGAGGGTTAATAAATCCTCGTATTCACCTGAAAATAGGTCAATAACTGTTTTATTATATGACATTTTTATAAACTTAACCATGTGTAGCACCAATCCATACTTAGCATATTTCGCCATGATTATGGCACCTGCAATGAAATTCTGCCTATACACAGAATATGTGTCTCTGTGCACTTAAAATGACCTTATATTAGCTGTTAATAAGAACAAAAACACCATAATGCGTAATGTGAGTAAATAGGAGAAAACTCAATCAAACAAATTTAGTATTTTATTTCATTTAACAAAATTTATATGCATTGAAAGTAAACTTTCAAGGGTAAAAATACAGTACGGTGTAACGGTATCTTTCAAATATCACATTTGTTTACAATGCATAAATAAATATTAATAATATCACATTTTTCATTGGTTATTACATCTCATCCGTCTGGATTTTTCAGAATAAACAATAACAATTCAATATGTTTTAAACAATAACTCGAGATTGTCATCTCTCTCAAATTCAAATATAACAAAAACAATCAATTTAAATGTTCAAAAATACAACTCAGAGATTTTTTTGTAGAACAAAATATTTAAGTTTGAACAAATACAAAAGTCAAACTGTCTGAATGTTGATAATTTCAACAAGTGACTACAAAGCTATTATTCTATTTAAAATTGATATTGATGGTGACATTTCCACAGTTGGAGACAGAGGGAAGTGGAAAATTCATGAAATGATTGAGGGTTTCTCTATTTACAATCGACGAACTGTTCTGAACGACCTGATTGTTTGCTATGTGTCCAACATTCTCCTCTGTTTCTTTAGGTTTTGATTCCTCGTGTTCTTGGATTGGGGCAGCTGCTTTTAATAAATCGTCGAATGATAAGCCAGACTCATTCAGCATATCATCAAGTTGTGTATCGGTCACAAGTTCAGCATTTGCAACATCTAGGACATTGTCATTGGTGTCATTGTTTTCTTTGTTTTCAATCACAGACTCGTCCACCTTTTTTTTTTGGCTCTGAGGTAGACTGGACAGGTCGCAGTGAATCCGAAATGGCATCGGACATATTCCGTTTGATGGATTGATCTGTGTAGCCCGTGTACGTCTTTAAAGATGATTCAGCTTTGTGACCGGTTACCGACATGATGTGTCGCCCCGCGAAGTTTGCTCGATCTAGTAAATGTACAGCAGTTGCACGTAGGCTGTGATTGGTGTATCTTTTTGACAGCTGTACTCTCTCTCGCTCTCTCTATCTATCTATCTATCTTTCTATGTATCTCTCACTCTCCCCCTCCTTCTCCTCTCCCCCTCTCTCCCTCCTTCCCCTCTATCCCTCTGTCTCTCCTCACCTCACGTATTTATCTACGGGAAGCTTCGCCATCCGTATCCCCTCCTTCTTCGCCTTCGCCATCGACAGCGGCTTCGGGTTCGTCTTGTCCACCATCGCCCCGACGACCACCACGTCGTCATCATCCCACGTCTCCAGGTACGTGGGCGCGTCCGGCGACAGGTAGACCAGACGCTGACGATCGTAGAGATCCAGGTAGCTCTCCGCGGAGACGCTGATCATCGCCGACTCGTCGAGGTTTGCGATGCATCGCTGCAGCGCCGCGTACGTGCCGTCGCCGGGCCGCGCGTTGCACGCGTGCATGTGGAACGGCGAGCGCGCGACCTTGTTGTGTCCGTGCGCGTCCTTCATCTGCCAGGCGGCGTTCGTGCGCTCGGCGGGGGTCATCCAGGAGTCGTAGGAGAGGTCGAGGACGAGGGTCGGGCCGTGGATCATCGCGTGGGCGAGGCGCCAGTTGTCGTGGCGCAGAACGGTCGAGTCGCGGACGTACAGGTTGATCGTGTTGAAGTTGAGGCCGTAGGTGAGGGCGCCACCGTCGGTGGAGGTCGCCGGGGGTCGTGCGGCGGGGTCGCGGTCGTGTAGCACCTTCTCGCGGACGGCGCGGCGATCGGCTTTCTTGCGAGCGTCGTTCGCCTTGCGGATGTTCGTCAGGAACAGGTACCTGGAATAGGGGATGTGGGTAAAGTACAAGTGAGTATAGGTGAGTATAGGTGACCACCAATGATTACAGTTGAGTATAGGTAAATAGATGTGAGTACAGGTAAGGCCAAAACAAAATATAGGTGTGGTTACGGTTTCCCGACCGACCCTATTTATTCCCAGCAACCCTAAACATTTTATTGTCAATTTTCTTTAAATTAAAAAAAATTAAAAAAAATTAAAAAAATTAATTGGACAGTTCCTGCTTCAAAAGGCACAACGCACATCCTTCGGACATGGTTCGTAAATAAAATATTTCAAGAAAATAAAATGTTTTCGGCATGTAACAGTAACCACACATATATTTTGTTTTGGCCTAAGTACAAGTGGGTATAGGTCACTAGATGCAATTACATGTAAGTAACTGTAAGTAAGTATAGACAACTAGAGGTAAATACAGGTGAGTATAGGTAATGACAGGTAGGTACAGGTAAGAACAAGAAAGTATGTAAGTAACTAGAGTTAATTACAGTCAAGTACATATAAGTGACTTATGTACATATATATAGGTGACTTAGTTTGTTGTAGGTGATACAGTATATCTTATTATATCATCATATCATACAATCACATATCAATATAAATTCATTACACAAACTTCGATACACATTAGGATTTTCTCAAATTCGGGACAGGCCAGGTAATTCAGGACAGATTTCCGACAGACCGCTGCTGCCGCTGCGGCGCTCACCTAAGCAGTGTTTGCCACTGAGCAGAAAAAGCTGTAGGCCCGCAGGGCCTATAGCTCCTAAAAGCTGCAGGCCCGCCAGCAAAGCTGTAGGCCCGCCAATTTTGGAGCAAATTACAGTTAAAAAAAACAGCATATCATGTTCTTCCTTGTGTAAGTTGTGTTTATTAGTCTGACTCATTATCAATGTCCATTTCGAAATCATCTGCTGATTCATCATCACTGCTCATGTCATCTGATAACAAGACACTGCCGGAATCGCTATCCTTGTGCCGCTCCTCCTCACTAGGCCTGTCGGATTCTGCTGCTTGCTCGACTTCTGCTGCTGCTGCTGTCTCCTCTGCTGCAGTCTCCAATGCCGTCTGGAGTTTCGTAGGTATGCTGGCCTTGAAGAGTGGTCTCCTACTGCTGCCAGCATTCCACTTATGAATTGCGGGTGTAGGGTCAAATTCCTCAATGCTGGCTGAGTGCATCCTGATCAGCATTATTTGTGTCATGCTGCTGGCTTTAAGTTTGTTGCGTAGACTGGTTTTCATGATCTTCATGATGGAAAACCCTCTCTCACACACTGCAGAAGTAGCAGGTAGACTCAGGATGAGGTCTACTAGGTCGAGGATGTGAGGTACCTTGGCCTTGTACTTCCTGTTGATCAGCTGCCAGCTCATCTGATAGATATCCTCACTGAAATCAGATTGAATATTTGTTGTATTATGATTGATTTGAAAATGAGATTCTCTGTTGCAGGAGTCAGGACTGCTACTGCTAGGGTGGGTCAGAGAAATAAAATCCCTCTGTGTATTCAAGATATTCTAAGTTCTAACGAACTAATGCTGACTGTATTTATCAGGCATGTACTCAGTGTTTGGTGGAGACTGATTGCTAAAAATGTAATCAATCAGAAAACAATATACATTCACGTAGATGTTTCATTAGTCTCGTTTAGTGTGCTGAAATAATTTACTCACTTCTGATAGAGAAGTTGCTTGAGTTGATCCCACTCTGTTGGTATCATAGCCACATCCACCCCCTGCCATTCAAGTACACCTTTCCAATGTTTGGTCAGGGTATTAACAGCACTGTCTCCAAAGTCTGCAAGTATGTTACAAAACAAAATTTCATATTGATTAGTTTTCATCAGGTTTGAAACAAAAACAAAACAAAAACAAAACATGTTTTCAAATTAGACCTAAAGCAGCTGTATAACAAAGTAAACAAACTGCAACAGAAAAATTGAGCATAAACAATAAAATAATCAAACAATAAACAATCTGCAACTATAACACACCATCTGCAAACTCTGCTGTGGGCCAGGACGAGAGATCAGCTATCTTGGTGCTAACGAGCAAATCAGCAGATATGTCACTGAAGCGCTTGTCCAAACAAGCTAGGAGCTTGGATACCAGCTGGTGGGGATAGCTGAAGCTACCAGTGAGTGTCTCACCCTGGAACTCTGACTCATGATCATCTGTTACACTCTTTAGGCAGGAACCAGGTCTAGAATCAGATACCATTTCACCAATAAGTTTTTATGCAATTTAATGAAGGTGTAGATATAATGTATTGTGTTGTTGACTTTATTGTAATTTATATGTACTTTTAGACTGTTAATATTACTAATAGAAATTTATTCTCTGTTAAGTTTCTATCTACATACAATGTATTATCAGCTACTCAAACTGTCAATACTTATTATGTAGTTAAAGCATACATGTACCTTTGCTCGAGTTTCGTCAGAGATATCTTGGCAGACTCCAACTGTTCATGTGATAGGTAGATGCTTGAGTCATCATTCTGTAGGACCTTGGACAGCTTGGACAAAGGTAGCAGAACATCTTGCAGGAAGTGTCCATAGTGTATCACCGCCTTAGACTGCAGAAGCTTCAGCAATCCCCTGGCTTTTGGACCAACATTTGGATCTTCGACATTCTGTGTGAAAGAATATAAAAGTTTAGCTTCTGGATACTATGTACAGCGGCTACAGGCTACAACTAGTCAACATTTTTTGGTTTATCAATTAAATTTAACTGGCTTCACGCATACTTGCTTGATTTGATTATTCACACTCACATAAATTAATTTATAACAATAACATGGAAATCAACTATGGGGTCTCGTATGATTCGTATCTAACGTGATTGTGCTGTTATTACTGATAAGTAAAGATTCGATTGTGTTTGTGTATGTATAGCTATACATATTATATTATATTATTATATTTATTATATAATAAACATTAATTATATATATATAATATAATATATAATAATTATTATATAATAAATGTGAATTTTCGGAGTATACAAACGTACATTAGTCAGATGCATCACAATAGCTTTGTAGCCTTTCCAGAGCTTCTCCAAAGACAGCAAAGTGTGGCCTAACCATCTTGTACCTCCAATTCGGGTTGGCATGACGACAGGAATTCCAACCGAATCGAAGGCCTTTCGTAGGTTGGTTCTCTGAAGTGGACTCTTGTGATAAAGCGTGAAGATGTGAGCAAGCAGCCTGACAAGCTTATCATGTACTGCACCCTTCAATGCCTCCTTATAAGCCAGCTCTAAGCGATGGACCAGACATTTGACCATGATTATAGAACTGTCGTGTTTTCCGCGCAACTTTGCAATAACCCCATTTGCGTGACCAGTGTTGACACTGGCCCCATCAGCGGCAAAGCCAACCAGCTTGGCAAGTGAATTAGGTCCAATTGCCTCCACCAAGCTAGTGGTGCATGCCTGGTAGATGCAGTTGGCATCACCTCTTTCAAGGGTCTTGAATGCACAGAAGTAGGTGTTTGCCTGTCCCAACCTAGCAGTCCGGCAATAAACGACTTCATTTTCAAGAATGGCTGTATCCGTTGACCCATCCGAGATCACTGTTAGAAATTTGTTTTCGGACAACTTGGCAACAATTCTCTCTCTCTCTACATCACTGATGGCTGTGACAAACTGTTTGCATGCCTTATCGTTTCGGTACGTTTCCCCTAAAACCATACCTTTTTTCTCATCAAGGGTTGCCATCCAATTGTAGTCAGAAAAGGGACGACAGTTGACAGCAATTGCATGGGCATTTCTAAACAAAGTTTCAAGTTTATGAAAAACGGACTTGTTGAGCTGTTTAATGGTCTGCTCTGCCTGGCTTGTTCCCGTGGGTTTGTTGCGGGCTTCTACGTGTCTGACTGCCACACTGTGTCCATCCGAATTTTGATGATTCGTCAGGGCTGAATGCTTGAAATTTGCGCATCCATTGACAAAGGCTCCCTTCGAATAGTTTTGGAACCCACCCCGATTCGGCAGTTTGTTCACGGATAAAGGCCCATATGCTGACTGGCATGGTCTGCAATACATGCATTTACCATCATGCAGAAGCCACTCGAACTCCGTTATCCAAGAGTTCTTGAACACTAAAGACCTCTTATTCGTCTCATACTCCCTCTGTTTTTCTTTCCTCTTGTCGGATGTTTGTTTATTCTTTTTTGCCGGGGGCTCACAATTATCAAGAAAACGCCACATTGTTGATAAATGTAGCGTCTTGGTAACTACGGCTACACTTTGACAGCAGAGCCAGACCCACGGCCACCCACCAATGAGAAACGATTTCATGTTACTTGCAGCTAATTCTGCACTCGGCTTGTAACTTGCCATTTAGACTGGTACTAGCCAGTAATCCCATCGAGTAACTAAGCCGAGAGGTGGGGCCGGGTACCAGTCTACTTGCCCTTTAGTTTACTACACTGGTGCGCAGCTTGGAACAGGGTTCCAGGCTAGCGCTGTTTCAGTTTCATTTACAATTAGGTTGCGAGAATATGCAGTGGGCGAACGCATTGTTTACATTATACGGTTTACATTATACGGTT